GCACTGAGTCTACTAATTCTTCTACTTAACAGTAGATATTCTCTTCCGAACTAATTGGAAAAGAAAGTTGTCTACTTTCACTGTTCACTGCAATCATCATGAAATATGACTGTAACTTTCAATTTCCTTCAACATATAAATACAGTGAGATGTGTAGAAATGTGATGCTGTTTAAGTGTATATCGACATTTAACAGAATAACAGATTTCTACTCTTACAGGATCTACTGAAGGAAGAAGAAACTACTATGGAGGACAACTGGAAAGGTATCAAAGAAGCATTAACTTCAACGGTCAAGAGGTTCTGGGCTTAAACAAGCATCATTATAAAGAATGGATCTCTATAGAAACACTCGAAATGATCAAAGAAAGGAAGAACAAGAAGGTAGCAATTAACAACAGCCGAACACGAACAGAGAAAGTTCAAGCACAAGCTGAGTACGTAGAAGCAAACAAGCAAGTGAAGAAGAGCATTAGAGCAGACAAGGAGAAATACGTGGAAGAACTAGCAACGACGGCGGAAAAAGCTGCTAGAGAAGGAAATTTGAAAAAGCTTTAAGATACAACGAAGAAACTAGCAGGGAAGTATAGTAAACCAGAGAGACCGGTCAAAGACAAAGAAGGCAAGCCAATCACTGAAATTCAACAACATCGGAACAGATGGGTAGAACACTTCGAGGAACTCCTGAATAGGCCGTCTCCAATGAATCTACCGGACATCGGAGCAGCACACACAGATCTTCCCATAGACGTCAACCCACCAACGAAGGAAGAAATCGGAATGGCCGTCAGACAAATCAAGAACGGGAAAGCAGCAGGACCCGACAACATACCAGCTGAAGCACTGAAATCAGACATCGAAGCAACAACAAGCATGCTTTATCTTCTATTGAAAAAGATTTGGGAGGAAGAACAAGTGCCGATGGACTGGAAAGAAGGACACCTCATCAAGATTCCAAAGAAAGGAGATCTGAGCAAATGTAAGAACTACAGAGACATTACACTACTGTCAATACCAGGGAAGGTCTTGAACAGAGTGTTGCTGAACCGGATGAAAGATGCAGTAGACGCCCAACTTCGAGATCAACAAGCTGGATTCCGTAAGGATCGGTCGTGCACAGACCAAATCGCAACACTTTGGATCATCGACGAACAATCAGTTGAGTGGAACTCGTCACCGTACATCAACTTCATTGATTATGAAAAGGCATTTGACGGTGTGGATAGGAGAACGTTATGGAAACTTCTTCTACACTATGGAGTTCCTGAGAAGATTGTCAACATTATCCGGAACTCATACGACGGACTACAGTGCAAGTTCGTGCATGGAGGACAGCTGACAGATGCATTCCAAGTAAGGACCGGAGTCAGACAAGGCTGTTTACTCTCTCCCTTCCTTTTTATTCTGGTGGTCGACTAGATTATGAGGACCTCGACATCTGAAGGGAAACACGGAATACAATGTACAGCTCAGAATCAATTAGACGATTTGGACTTCGCAGGTGACCTAGCCTCCTATCGCATGCACACGAACAGATGCAGACAAAGACAGCCAGTGTAGCAGCAGTCTCTGCATCAGTAGGCCTCAGCATACACAAAGGGAAAACCAAGGTCCTCAAATTCAAAACGGAGAATAGCAATCCAATCACTCTTGATGGCGAAACTCTGGAAGATGTAGAATCCTCCACATACCTGGGAAGCATCATCGATGAACAAGGAGGTTCAGATGCAGACATAAAGGCGAGGATTGGCAAAGCAAGGGTCGCATTCCTACAATTGAAGAACATATGGAACTCAAAACAACTTTCAACCAATATCAAAGTGAGAATCTTCAATACCAACTTCAAGGCAGTTCTACTGTATGGAGCTGAAACTTGGAGAACTACAACAACCACCATCAAGAAGGTACAAGTATTTATTTATTCAGCTTCTAGCTGAAAAAGAAATTAGGAAACGATGATGGACATACATTACTTAAATCACCGAACTGCATCACGAGGCAGCCCTGACTTGGAATCTTGAAGAGAAGCGGAAAAGAGGAAGGCCAAAAAACACATTACGTCGGGAAATAGAAGCAGATATGAAAAGGATGAATAACAACTGGAAGGAGCTGGGAAGGGTTGCCCAGGACAGGGTTGGATGGAGAATGCTGGTGAGCGGCCTATGCTCCTTCACGAGGAGTAACAGGCATAAGTAAGTAAGTAAGTGAGTCATTTTATTGCCTATGATAATGCGACAATTTTTTGTTGTTTCTATACTATGTACAATTTCTCTCCCACCTTTGTTACCAGAATGAAATTTTCGATTGTGAAGCAAATTTAGAAACAGAGTTAATCTTTATTTTAATCCATGATAAAGATTCAAAACATTTGATTGATGCAATCTATAATGAACAGTTGCTCAGGATCTTACTTCTAGACGTTTAACTATTTTAGAATCAACAAGTGATAATCGAAATTTTCCTGTTATTCATGTAAACAAAACTTAGTAGTGTACATGATACCAAGATTTGTGTGAAACAGTAGTTTATTTCGACATCATTAGATATCACTGAAATGTCGATGTGATCAGTGAAATGAATAATGTTTTATAATTTCTTTTATATTACATTTAGAATAAACTCTCCCCTCAGCCCCTCACGTGCTACTGCCGGTCCCAAGCCCGGATAAAGAAGGAGGGTTGGGCATAGGGTTAGCGACACCATCCCATAGAAAACTAGCTCGCTAAAGAAACGTTAACCAGGAAAAATAATTCAAACCATTAAAACTCTGCCCTGAGTGTTAGAACGTCTTCATTTAGAAGAGTTATGACGCCTCATGGTGAAAGCCGAGTTCTCTCAGAAGTCACGAGTCCGATGCCGCTTCTGATAACCAGAGAAACCATTTGTTCAGGTACATGGAATTCTCGTGTAATGTGGGTGACCAGGAGGGTCTTTCAGAAATAGAGATATAACCTAGCGACTGCACTATGAGATGAGTCATACCATAGCAGTACCTTTGCAAACTGTTTCGTCACTCATTTATTCGTTAAGACCTACTATGTATGAGAAATGAAAGGTTGTCATAGATCAATTGAAAGATATTTAAATAAAAGATACTCGGGAAATGCAATATGAATCACACTGCAATGTATGATAAGCCAATATTACTGTTATGTGATTTGCAGATGTGAAGGTGCGAATCGGCAAAACAAGAGCAGCATATTTACAACTGAAGAACATACGGAACTCAAAACAACTGTCTGTCAACCAACGCCAATGTCAGAATTTTCAATAAAAATGTCAAAACAGTTCTACTGTGTGGGGAGGAAGTTTGGAGAACTACGAAAGCTATCATCTAGAAGATACAGGTGTTTATTAACAGTTGTCTACGCAAAATACTTCGGATCCGTTGACCAAACACTATCAGCAACAACCTACTATGCGAGAGAACAAACCAGATCACAGCAGAGGAAGAAATCAGGAGGAAGTTCTGGAAGTGGATGAGACGCACATTGAGAAAAGCACACAACTGCGTTACAATGCAAGCTCTCACATGGAATCCTGAAGGCCAAAAGAGAAGAGGAAGACCAAAGAACACATTAGGTCGATAAATGGAGGTAGACATGAGAAAAATGCACAAAAATTGGACAAAACTGGAAAGGGAGTCCCAGTACAGAGTGGGTTGGAGAATACTGATCGGTGGCCTATGCTCCATTGAGAGTAAAAGGCGTAAGTAAATGATTTGCATAGTTTTGTTTTCCTAAAATCTTTATTCTGTAATCATCCAATCTGCCTATTTTGGATTTTATTTTCCATAAATAAATCACTTACCAAGTGAATTTGAGAACAGATTGTTCAAAACGTATTTCCTATGAAGTCACATAGTTCTGAAATACTTCGTATTGCATTATCTAGATCGAAGCAAAGTTCCCAAAACATCTAGTAATTAATCACTTCTGACAGAAAATGCTTCGTTTGATTCATCCAGACTACAATGCATAGTAGCGTGCAAATATAATTACTTTGGAAAGAGATGACAAAGCGATATCACTAAAACTATTAAATATTTTATGTACTTTTAGTAGGATCGTACATTTAGACGTCAATTAAATCGGACGATATTGTCGATAGGCTCACCACTTTTGTGGCCTTATATCTGAACGCACTTCAATCGTTTCTGATTTCTATTGAAATATACATATCGTCAATCCTCGTATAGAATTATCGACTTAGATCGCGTTATTGAATAACGGAATTAAATAAGCCAAATACGAGAATGGATTTTCGAATACATATATTTTATACACTCATTGATCTGGGAAGGCAATCAGAGGACTGAAGCGAAGAGAAGAGAGCGAAGCGAAATGACGCGCAATGAAGAAAGTGTGTATGCCAACTCGATTTAATCAAACGTTAATCAATATGTACAGCCAGATAAAAATAATTTACAGACATGTGATGAATAGGATAAGAAGTGTACACGCATATAAAAGGGTTAATAAGTGAATAATTAACAAGTTCAAAGTGTGACTCTAGAAGAATGGATAAATTGACCTGTCCAGCAGTTAGGATAAGGTATATGAGGTTAACATAGCAGCCGACACTACATATTCTTCAGTTAAAATGTACATAGAAACACTTTGATCTTAATTACATTATTCAATAAGTAAAGTTACTTTTCAGTTTCCTAAAGTCATTTGTATTTGTTGAAATAAAGTATTTAATACATATTTAGCAAGATCTGGTGTTACATTAAAAACCAGCAGATAACTTATAAATAACTGGATGTTTTGAAAGTTTCCGTTAAAAATCATCCTTGATTAAGTGATATGACGGGATAAAAAGTTCAAATTATAATAATTTTCTAATCAACTCAGTGTAATATTTGTTTCTATTTTCCAGTGTGATATTTCATTCTATATAACATACGATATTCTTATATTCCATTGACATGAACTCTATTCAGCATGTGATTTATTATAACCCTAAGTGATTTCATTCTAATTATTAAACAAAATGAATGGATATCAACTATATCTGATGAGATTGTTTTTCCAACAACAACAAAAAATGCCAACAAACAAATGAAAAATGGTTTTAGTCAATTCCTATTTTAGCCCAAAATGAAACTATCAGGAAGACATTGAACAATATTAGGGCTCTTCAATAACATGAATTGTTTTTAGTACAATAATTTATTATATTAAAAGGAATTAATTAATTAACTTATTTTATTAACCAATCAGATATTTATTGTAGTTCACTCTTAAAAATGATTGGTTAATTTACTTTTTATCATTAAATATTTAATGTTAAATCACTTGATTTAATGTTACTTACAAAATATTGTGCATTGCAAGAACCTTCAATAATCCAATCTATGTAAGTTCTATTAAATAACAATGTTGATATTTTGCATAGACTATTAAATTAATGGTATATTGGGTTAAACCCAAAGTGTTTAGTTTTCTAAATACACTTGATAAACTGGTTTCTTAAGATCTTTATTTCACTTTATGAATGATAAGAGATGTTGAAAAGTTAGTGAATACTCACTTCATACAAAACAGTCAATTATTCAGAGTTCTTTGTTAAAAGCCATTAACTTTTATGCATTATACTATGAATAGTTGCCTAAATATCATGAATGGATGAAAGTATTTACCTGTAAAATTAAATTTTGTTCAAAGTATAACATTTAATCTAACTGGTAATGAATAAAACTCCGTCATCAAATTTTAGTCTTTCTTATTTTTCAACTGGTTTTGTATTAGAGTCCATAATTTATTAATTAAATTGTGTTACACTGTTGTGTCATGACATATCATTTGTTATCAATTTAGTCATCAGTATGGGGTTGTGGAGATCATTAAGCTCCTGACTGAACTTATGAACCGATTGATGTTAGATTACCATTGAAAACCTGGAAGAACTGGACGCCGTTCCGTCCCATTATGGGACTCCTCAGCAGTGCGCATCCATGATCCTGTTTGCGGAATTCGAACTCAGCACCCTTGATCTCACTCGCGAACTTTTAACATCCAAACCACTGAGCTGGCTTCCAGTGGTGTTAATGTCTAATCTCAACCAATCCACGAAATTGTGCGATCATCTCCCATTGTATTGAAGTAGATGACTGTCTCTACCCGACACGGAGTTCTAGTGAGAAACCGTGACCAAAATTGTCATGGAGTATGTGAATAAAATTCTTAGTTCTATATTCTTGCTGATGACGTAATAAAACAAGCTCTTGTAGCATGAAGAAGTAAGTTGGTTGTTTCACCGTAATATCAGCATAATACAGCAGGATATTTACCAGTTTACTGATCATTCGTGAAATCCAGTACTCATCAATTATCATTTGTTTTGTTTATTCATAACAGAATTCAACCAAACCAGTAAAATGTAGTCAGGTTCTAAAAAGCAAACATTGTTGGTTCATTATTTATGGTTAAGGATGTTATTCACCTCTCTATTGATCAAATGAAATGTGTTTGTCATGTGATTCAAGTACCTATGTGATAGTCTTCTTTACCTCTCTTGTTTTAATTTAGTTAGATACATGAGTAAAAATTCTAACCACTTTAAATGGTACTTTGTGCTATACTGCCTGATATATTTTATGTACTGGAAGAAGATAATATAAGCCGTAAGATTCTAGCTGAGTTGTTTAAAATTATCCTACTGGCTGCAGTAATTGAAGACCTGTGATCTGATTTTCTCTAAGGTCATCGATTTGCATAGATAAGAATTGTATAAAACTTAATAAACCTACCCTAACTTTCACACTTCTTCTGTTCATTATGACTATGAAACTGGTAACCATCCTAACCATCAGACAGAAGGGAGTCTTATCAAAGGAAAACTTAACCATCCAATCCTTTGGGAATGTTTAATGTCTGAATTAGTAATTGCTATTCATAGAAGCGTTTCTATCGTTATAATCTTAGTGGAGGACAGAATAAATCTGATTGAAGATTGCCATCCAAGCTTTAAGACTATTGTACAAGTTATATTACATATATTGTAGCCGTGTGAACTTTCTGGTGAATATAAATATGCTAATTCGTTTCTATCACCATGACCTATCAAACAATAAGCTCCAACAAGTAAGGTAAAGGGAATCTTAGCCATCGACTGACAAAAGTCGAGCACGATTATAAAAAGCAGTGATATTTCTGAGATTTAAAATTGATTTGATGATTTATTAGGGTCTTTGGAAGGTTCTGAAATTTTCAGTACAAAATACATATGGTTGAAAGTATTTACACATTGTATAGGTTGACGTTGGTTTTCATCAAGATAATCATAGAAAACCGATGATTATTAAATGAACGTTTCTTTCCAACTTGTAAATCTCCAGCACCTTGAACTTACAATCTTATGACCTAGTCTCACGGCTAATGTGGTTTGTAAATACTGCTTCATTGAAATATAGTGATCCATATTTCTAGCCTTGTTCTAATCACAGCATACATCGACTAGCACTCAATATCACTAAAGACACCTGTTCTCATCTTTCTATGAAACTGTTAGTTTAAAACCTCATGGGTTTGATTAACATAATTTTAGATGATCGATGATGGTCAACTGAATATATTTGGTAAACAAATAAGTATGTCGATAAACATAAATTTGTAATACATTATATTAATTAGAAAAGTTAGAAATATAACATCGCTGGATGCTGGCTCAGTGTTCTAGAGGTTAAGCGTTCGCGCTTGAGACCAAAGTCCCTGGGTTCGATGGATACGCACTGCTGAGGAGTCCCATAATAGGACGAAACGGCCATCCAGTGCTTCCAGGTTTTCAGTGGTGGTATAACATCAATCTGTTCATGATCTCAATCAAAACCTTAATGATCTCCACAACCCTAGAGTAAGGAATATAATTAATGAATAAAATACTGGTCGCGTATTATCGAAGTTTGTATGTAACTTAAATAGATATTTAAATCAATTTTAATCCATACTGTTACTGCAATTTGAAAATTATTATGCAATAAACAAATATGAAAAATTGTCCATTTTCCTTTCATAGTTGTTTATTTACTGACCATTTGTCCTTTATGATGCATTAAATAGAGTAAATGAATAATTTTTCAAATAGAATTTCGATTAAAATCTTTATTGTTGTTTTTATTCTCTTTAAAACTATTCACTGGTGTACTTTGATAATTTCAAATAATACGTGATTGAATAACAGTAAATATGAATTGATTTAAAACGTGACTAGAATTATTCATTTTGTAAGGCGGCCTGGTTGAATATTTGCGCTACCTGTTCCTTTCCTTTAGATATTTCAATAAGTTATCTGGGTTTATGTTTATTAATCGAATCGTGGTGGCAGGCAGGCAATATGCATTGAAAAGAATGAATATTATTCAGATGTTGATTCCTGACCTGCTAAAATCTAACTGGCGATTACTCAGTCATGTGAATAAAATCCATAGCAAGATAATTTCATCTTGTCAGTCGAAGTAATCTTAGCAATATTAATGACAATAATAATAACAAAATCGTTGTGAGAATTGGAAGGGGAAAAAGAGGTTTATTGTATCCAGTTTAGGTATCCGATGATCCAGTCGAGGGCCATGGTAAACATAGGGGCTAGATAAACCTCTTCCGAATACATAAGTTCGGTTTTCTGGAGTTGATCCAGATGGCTTCAGCTATATAGAGTTGCCGTAATCTATAGGTAAATTCATTAAAACTTGATATAAAAAAGAGAAAGCTTCCTCTGTTTTAATATGATTTTCACTATCTCCCAAGTTAGAAAGAATGGGGCTGTTAATCAATTTAGTGATTTCTTTTCCTAACCATGCTAGTACATCTTTATGAACACGCAAAGATAAAGCCCTCTAAGTACGGCCTGTGTAATTAGCTCTGCAGTAGCAGTCGAACTGGCATACACATGGAGGAGCCCATCATCAGTAACCTATCCTTAATTCATTGTGTAAGTACTGGTTTGATCGAGAAAATTATATGTAAATTGGTGGTGTGAAATGTCCTTTGAACAGATCTTTTGAGTCGACGAGTTAAAATGTTACTCGCTATGTCCCTTTTAAAATCCAGTTTCAGATAAAGGGTTATTTTACTGACCATGCCACAGTTTCTTCCTATTTATTACCTTCTAATAGAAATTTTCGGACAAAATGATCTACATAGCCGTTATTTCGTAAAGTTTTCTTTAGCTCACCTATTTCGTTATCTACTGTATGTTCAGAACATAATAGTCAGATTCTGTGACTGAGACGTTTAGCCCATTTTATTTTGCATTGAAGATTTGTAAAGCTATGAAAAGAGTATATTGACCTGTCCATAAATTCTTATTAAATACATTTTTTGAAACTGTCTATCATTCTAGAAAGTAGGATATCAAGGAAAGCTATACTATTGTCGTTCCCCTCTTCACTGGTGAATTTAATAGCTGGGTGGACATTATTGAAACAGTTCAACAGCTCTTGTTTGTCGATACTAACTGACTAATCATAATATGAGATGGGATTTTGGAATTTCACTAGTTTTATTTCAATATAAAACACTGAAATGCATAAAGATTTGTGGAATGTATATTACTTGTCTGTTCTTGCTAGAACACATATTACATCATACTATATTGAACCTTATTATTCAATATAAAGCAAATTAATAACATAAATTCCACAATAAATCTCATTGTGTCATATTGAAATGTAAATCAGTGATGTTGCGAAATTCAATCTCATATTCTTTTACTAGTTATTTTGTTAGGAAATCAATAAAAAAAATGAAGAGAAAAGTAAAAAGAAAAGAAACAACACCCGGTAACTTTTTCTCATTTAAGACACATATCATGATTGAAACATTGAAATCATTTTCTTTTCTATTAAATAATCATTGTCAAATTAAATAAACAAATTGCACAAGTTTTAATTCTCAAAATACCAAATACATCGAACAATTATTATTATTATTCTAAGTGCGTTTTTTTGTGTATGGAAATAAATGGTTTGCATTAGTTTACACCATATATCAACTGTTTCTTTAATTAAACATAATAAACAACACATGACATTAGTTATGTATGCAATTCTAAGAAGAAATACATCACTGACAAAATGTTAGACATCAAAATGATGTATTTAATTTGTTAAAAAGAAATATCTTTTCATTATGAGTAGTATGTGACTTTAATTCAACTGTGAAAAAGAATGAGATTCTTCTTCTTCAAAAAGAAAAGTGTCACAAGTAGAGATAAGGTTGAACTAGTTTCACGGTTGACCAATATAAGATCGAGTTAACCTGAAATAAATATACAAGAGAAGGAAATAGAATTTATAAACTCATCTGTAGAATATCTGATAATTTATATGAAAATGATGGAATGTTATGACATGAAAAACAATTACAAAAACTGGTTGATGTTATACCAGCATTGAAAACCTGGAAGCAATGGACTCCTCAGAATTGCACATCCACGATCCCGCCACCTCGCGGGATTCCAACCCATGGCCTTGAGTGCGAATGCTTGACCTTTAGACCACAGTTGGATGCCGACTCAATGGTCTAGTTGTTAAGCGTTCGCACGCGAGACTGAAGGCTATGGGTTCCAACCGCACAATCGAGATCGTGGATGCGCACTGCTGAAGAGTCCCATCATAGGATGAAATGGCCGTCCAGTTCTTCCAGGTTTTCAGTGGTGGTCTAACATCAATCGATTCATGATCACAATCAAAAACTTAATAATTTCCACAACCGTATACTGATAATTACAAACATTTTAGAATTTTTCTTTATATTTGCTGAACATTTTAATGAATAAGTGATTGGAATTATTGAGTGGTTTTCAAATACATCGACATAGGACAAAGATGTATAAGTGTGTTGATGAACTGCAATTAATTATACGATCTTTATGAACAGAGTATGTCATTAGACATCATCTGACATTAACTAACTTCCATCAAATACATATCTACCTATGTTTCTAAATTCAAATGACTTTTTATGAAGATAAAGATTGTCTTTGATAAAATCCAAGAAAGATGACCATTTTAGAAATGTCCAAGTTAATGATTTTCACTGACACTGACATCGAAGTTTAAACGAGATATATAAGGAATTAGATCTTTTCATAAATTTTTGTCAGACAATTTTTATATAATAAAATAGTTGATTCCTTTGATTATTACCAACTTGGAGCATAAATAATTTCTCCATATAATACCAGAAATAGAGAAGTATAGAAGTCTTCTTGGATTCCTGACCCATATTCTACGGTAAAAAAATGATTTATGAAGAGTTTGATCGAACTACAGTTTCTATTGTTAACTTTTTTGATTCAAAAATAAGTAGGTACTAACATATGTTCATCTTTGGCAACAATTATTCTCATATCAATAGGTTCCTAGATTTTCAGTCAACTGATCTGACGACTCTATATTCCTATGCTGTCTAAAGTCATAGGTAAGAACTGATCTAAAGACTTTAAACAAAAATTCTGGGAGGATAGATCAATTCACAACAGAATGAATTTTCTAGTTTCGAAAATCACTTTCATGACATGGATTATTACTTATGTACTCATTTTAATTAACTGTCAGAAATAATACAGAGGCATTTATATAGATAAAACTATAAAATAAAATTTCAATAGTTAAGATCATGAGTCAATTGAAGTTAGACCATCATTGAAAACTTGGAATCACTGGAGTCCCACAATAGAACGAACCAGCCCTTCAGTGCTTACACGTTTTCCATGATTGTCTAGCTTCCATTGACTCATGATTTTAACTACTAAAATTACTATCATATCTACAATAACCGCTTCTGATATTAATAAAGGAAAAGCTTTTCCGCTATGTATGAATGTAATGAAATCAAGATGTGTGTAACTATTTTTATAAAATGTTTAATAAGCTAATTGTTGTTTTTTAACATTCCAATAGATAATGACTTATCATTGGTTGATTAGTATACAAATCTCATTGTTATTTGTTAACTGCTTATGCAATGGATCAGGTTAGTGAATACTTGCATATTTCAAATTAGTTTTATACCTAATTACTAATAGTTTTCCAGATAAATTGGGTGATATTTTTGTACGTCTGTATCTAATTGTAATAGAGATAACAGAATTAGAAGAGACTAATTATAATTCAGTACACGTGTTGAAACTATTCTCATAGACAAATTGCATAGCCGAATTACAACTTTTAGGTTGTTTTTCTAATAAATTCTACTGAGATAGTGAAGAAGATTTATAGTTTAGATGGATAATTTTAAATGGAGTTTTGTTCCCTGAACTGGGTGGTTTAATCGTATAGCTTTTATTGTTATTCTGAACGACATCATCAGCACAAACTTCAAGTAGAAGTTGATGGTATCATTCACAATAATGATGAAATCTTCACGACCAAACCATCTAACTCAGAGAACAAAACTCCACCAAAAATAATTCCTACTGTTTTCAATCAAACATATTATTTTCAGATGATTTAAAATCCCATCACATGATTAACCAAGTATCAGTTATCGTTTTATTTAACGCATCCGCAGCTTCCGTTAGTGAGAAAAAGTAATATCACCTATAGAACTAGACAATAATCAATGATGATTATTAGGTGAATGAATTCTGAAATATAGACCATCATCAATCATTTGAATTATTCATATTTCTAGCACGATTCGTGAATTTCAAAGTAGCTAAAATAATCTATGCATAACTTGTCTATTTCAAGTGGGCTTTTAAGCTCACACTGATCCGCAGTGAGAGCTCAATTGAAATATTGCTTGTATAAAAATATTTTGACAAAAGTAAACAGACTAATCATTAAAGGTGCTATTGAAACATCTTAACTTATTTATAAATAAACTAATAATTTAGTTATGAGAAAAAATTTACTGAGATTGTTATTGGAATGCCTCTAAATGCTTTAATAATGGCCAAGGGTGAGAAGAGACCGCTCTTCCTCTCGAAATGCTCTCACATTGCCACTCGTATACAGCCGCCGTCAAGAAAGTCCCACTCATTGCCTTCTTGCGACGGGGGTGTTGTTTACGAAATTGAGAGGGCGAAAAGCGAATGTCTGGCGCTTTAACCAGGTTGATGAATATAGAGGATCCACCTAGGGGAGTTGGAAAACCATGATTCCAAACCAATGGTGCACATGGGCTCCAGGATCCTGGAAGAATAAATCGCATATGAATCAGTTACTGGTTATCGGCTACCATGGGACTGCATCTGCTGACGTTACTCCACTGCCTTGTATATCAGTCCTTTAGGTCGAAGGTTCCGATTGATGTGGCGTATATCTATTTGGTTCCTCCTTGTACCAATATCTGTGCGTTCAAATAAATAAAATAAACGAATATTATTGTAATGATTTAGCGAAATATTCACATTTTTACTATTCCTGAGAGACTTTTGTGATATAAGTAATTTTCTAATATGGAACTGAAAACTAATAGAATTGTTTTCTAATTATTTACATTTAATGACTGAGATTAATCATGACAGTATGCTAATCACTAAATATCAAATTGTAGGAATAATGTTTTAGTTTCTTTTTAAAAATTATGTTTTCACTTACCGCCTAGTTTTATTATGTGAATATATTCTGAGCATTATTTGACAATTGAATTTATTCTTTGAATTACACATATTCTACTCACTGAGAATAAAACTAATTCAGAGTTAATACATAAAAGAGGAAGAGTTCAACATCATCTCCACATTAATTAAAGTTTTAATCAGTTTAAATGATTAATCTATGAATACAATTATGATAAATGTTAGTTGTAGATTTCTGTAAACATTGAGTGAAAACTTAAAGGGGCGTCCTCATTTTTCACTCATCTTCTTTATTTCACGCCATTTAAATCAATTATGGTTTGTGTTAGTTACCAATATTCAGTTGATTTCTGGTGATTTATTGACATCATAATTGCAAGAAAATGCTAAAAGAAATCATGACAAATTTCAATATAATCATGATGCTTAATGATCAAAGTTGAATCAATTTAGTGGTAAACAATTAATAGTATTATCAGCAACATGCTATTTGGATGTGTATAGAGTGAGTGAAATGAGCTAAAGTAACGTTCGTTATAAATGGTGAATTAGTGACAGTAATAATGAAAATAAGAAAAAAAACATGAATTGGATTAAATGAAAAAAAATGTTACGTCTAGCTAACACTTATTTAATAGTAAGAGGTCACTTTTGTACTGGTTTAATGAACCAAAGCGGCTAGCAGGAAAATAAATTAATAGAGTCAGCGAAATAATAGAAAATTCGAAGGGAAAAAAGTACTCTGTAGGAAATCACTTTCTAATGTTCATATCTCTTTACTATTTTGTTTCATTATCTGGCATATGAAGTCCATATAACTTTTTAATCATTAGAATTGTTATTGTTTTACTTGTTTTAAATCTTTTTTTGGGGGGGGGGAAATTTCTAACAGAATGGTCTTATTCAAATGTATTAACTGGACCGGAAACATGGAATCACCACTACAGAAATATGTGTTCGGGTTATTATCAATCACCAATTGATTTGAAATCAGATATATCTATACTTGATTTACGATTAAAAACTGTGGTAATTTATCGAAACACATCAGTTGCTGAGACCACTACAATTACAAATAATGGTCACTCAGGTGAGTTCATGCTTTTTTTCATTTTTCTATTAAATTACACTTTTGTTTTATCACTTACAACATATTAATAGAATAAAATAGACTTCCTGTCTATATATACACATTTTTCTTTACTATTTATAAGTTTACACATCCTTTATATTATATCATCGTTTGAAGGATTCATGATTTTTAGATTGATTACAGCCGAAGATAGTAATAATTCAATTTTAGTGAACCGAGATCTGCCTCCAGTTATATCGTGTGATTGCAATTGTTATTGAGGTTTATGTGTCGTCAATCCTTGTATAGAAGTATTGACTTAATCCACATTAGTGTATAACGGAATTCAATAAGCCAAATAAGAATATGGATTTTCGAATACTTATATTTTGTACACTCATTGGTCTGGGCAAGCAATAAAAAAATGAAGCGAAGGAAACAAAGAGAAGAGAGCGAAGCGAAATGACGCTCAGTGGAGAAGGCGTGTATGCCAACTCCATTTAATCAGGCGCTAATCAGTACTTATAGTAACACAAGAATAAACTACAGACATGTGATAAGTAGGATAAGATATACGACACATACGCTCATATAAAAGCATTCAGGGTTAATAAGTGAATAATTAACAAGAATAATACGTGGCTCTAGAAGAATGGATAGACTGATCTGTCCAGAAGCTTGAATAAGGTATATGGGCTTAACATAGTAACGGACACAACAATACTTCATACTTTGATGGCAAAATGTTTTAGTTGTACCTTGAATTATGTTTTGAAATCGACTACATTACTCATAAATTAAAGAATAAACTGTTCCTTAGACAATAATACTTCATCAAAAAAGAAAAAAATCGTATTTTTTTGTTCCCTTAGTAGTTTACAAACACATTGTGTTTTTTTACTTGGAAAATAAAGAATCTATCCATCGGATGACAAAACACTTATATGCAAGTTTGTCTAATATTAAAAAATATGAAAATACATTCCATGAATAGTGAAATGGATCTGACATGAAAATAAACTGGTCAATGTTTTCCGCTTCATTAACATATCTACAAAATTTGCTTAGAATGCAAATCCGATACATGATATCTCAATCAGTCTTACATTCCATTTATAGAAAGCCAACTAATTGTACATCCTTGATTCAGATTCATTAACATATTGGAGCATTTTATGGACATGACATGGTTTTCAAGAAAATGATTTAACTAACTCGTAAGAATTAACGTGGCCTATAAATATCATTGATTTTAAAAGCCAAATATATGCAACTATCATACAATGAAATGACATTGTCATTTATTTAAATATAACAATCCATTAATTAAATGTTTAAATGAACACAAACTCTAATGACTGACACTAGCATTTAATGTTTCATTTGAACAAGATTTTCAGTTCTAAACTGAACTAGAATACAACACATATATAATGAAGCCCAATGCTTTTCTCCTGATAAATATATGTATTGACTGATAGATAGTTGTTTTAAATCAGACTAATATTGTAGCTAAACAAGTTTCCACAGAGGACAAAACTATAGATATATCAAGCTATATTTACCCTAGTTCTGAATATTAGTATAGTTTCTGAATAAAACATCTTGCTTTCAGTATACACCTATTGTTTATTAGTAATCATCGGAATAGTCTAATATTATTAAATATATAGATCTTCTTTCACAAAATCAGATATAGATTTATTATATAGCATTTTCAATGGTTGGGATCATGAGTCAATTAAAGCTAGACCACTATGGAAAACCTGGAAGCACTGGACTGCCGTTTCGCTCTAGTGTAGGACTCCTCAGCAGTACGTATTCACAACCCCACCTCGTGGAATTTGAACCCATGACCTATCAGTCACGCGCACGAGCGCTTAACCACTAAACCACTGAGATAGCTGGCATCCAACGGTGTTAATGTTCGACTGGAACTAATCCGTGAAATTGAGCGACACATCCACCATTGTCATCACTGAGTTACTATCTCATTTTTTCATAAATCCAATTATAGTGATAATAGGTTAGTGATTTACTATTTACATATAATGATAAAAAAACAGATATATTCGGTCACTTAGTAAAATGATATTGAATTTGTATACCTAGAACCAATAAACTTGTTTGTCTGGTGATTTAAAAGAAATAGAATCAACATCAATTGGGTTGTTTGGTTGTATTAACTCAACTGCTTAGTATTCATTAATACATTTAATGCTAGAAAGCATAGAATTTACTGACTATGTTTTGTGACTTATACAATCTTTTATGTATCATATATTTATCTTACTAATTTAGCTGATGTTACATTTTCACAAAACACTTGGTTTATATCATTTGATGGCTTACGTGACTTTAAATATGAAATTGCAAAAATGCATTTTCACTGGGGTAATACTGATGATCGTGGATCTGAGCATACTATTGATGGAATTAGATTTCCTTTAGAAGTAAGTCTGTATGTAAATTATTGTCATTTGACTTTAACATTCTTTTTCACATACATCAAGAGTGAAGAGAGCACATTATGAATGTTTTGATATTGCTAATTGCTGATGAACGATTTTAGATGTGATCATATATCTCTAAGAACCAGATTGATAATTGTTCATGAAGATCTAATGAGTCAGGTGAATTAAAAAGTATATTCATTTGTGTGAAATGACACAATTATGAGCAACAGCTTAATCACGAAACATATCCGATCATGGTCTATTTAGAATGTAAACAAATAAAGGTTATAAATAATTAGGTTTCTTCACCAGCGAATAAACGTGAAAAAAATGGCAACTAGCCTTCATTCTTATCAGTCATGTTTAAATATACTGTTTTTATTCTTAACACTAATTGTAGGGACATATTGTATCATTTCGAAGAGAGATGTATTCTTCACTCAATGAAGCTATCGGTCGACCAGGTGGACTTGCTGTTCTTGGTATCATGCATAATATTGTTGAATCAATAAAATCTGACCAAACAGTGTTCAAGGCATATAACAATTTTTCTGGTGTATTGAACTCACAATTCGCTCCTCCAAATGCTTTGACAGTTGATAATATGAATTTATCGCTAATTCTAAGCTTCTTGAATCCTAGTCATTATTTTCGCTATTTTGGTTCACTGACAACTCCACCATGCACAGAAAATGTTCTTTGGACTGTTTTTATGGATCCAGTGCCAATTACACGTGAACAGGTAGTCATAATTCTACATTAGCCGAATAAATTCGAGTTTCTCTGTTTTCAAATGAACCAGACAATACTTAAATCAAATTCAGTACATTGAAATAGATGTAATATTATGTTATTTTGCCATAAATTTATTGACAAATTAATCGATAACCAATTAGTAACGTCATCCTGTTAATCTCAGCTCTTTCAAACATGTTTCAATGTACTCACTAGTTTGATTCACTCAACATTAGTGTGTTTTTTCTATGCTGTTCAAGGTTGACAGTAACCGATGGAGGTACTGGAATACTTATTTTGTGATAGTTGATGCTGATTACCTAAGTTTATTCAAAATCATCTAAGAATTAGTGTAGTGATCTGTATTTATTACGTGTTTGGATTTCAGTAAACTAGTACGTTCTGCTTTGAATCGTGAATATGTCCACCTTATTTGAAACAATGCCTGAGAAGCAGAAACATCCCACGAACCATTATATACTGAGAAAGAGCCAACCGTCACCTAGTACAGTGACTTACATATGTCATCCAAATTCAAACAAATTAGTCTAGATGATTAATTAAACGTAGAACAAATTAAACTTCACTTCGTAAACAAACATATACAAAGAATATAGAAAACATTCAACAAATATTTTGTTATAATCAGACAAGGGTTTTGTGAAGATTGTAGTAATTTCACAATTGAATTCATTAGTCTATTGAAGCTAGACCACCATGGAAAACCTGGAAGCACTGCATGGCCGTCTCATCCTAGTATGAAACTCCTCAGAAGTGCGAGACTGATAGATCCTGGTTTCAAATCTGGCGGTACGGGATTGTGGATGCGCTTCAGTTAACTCATGAATTCAATTATTAAAATATTCTGTTGTTCAATTTGCAAGAATATCAGTGTTCCGTAATAGATGGTGAAATCCTTACGAGAGTGGAGATTCCTATGAAGTATCAAATAAATTATATTTTATGATTGATAAAAATACAAGACCCGTTTCCACTCTTCTAGAAAATTAATTTTTAATTTTCAGTACTTAGCAACAAAAAAAAACAATTAGATTTATGAATGCTTCAACGATATAAATATAATTAAATCTATGAGATTCATTATATTGCGATCACCCAATGAATCATTTCATTCCAAAAATGCAGTGAATACGTTTCATGCAAACAACATTAAAATCTTAGTAATTTAAAGATCTTCAAAGGATGTTCAGGAACATGGAGCACTAAAGTGGATGGTAATTTTCGGTCACTTCTTTCTTAGATTCGACAGTAATATAACTTAAAATTATGAAATAAAATACAAAATATTAAAGTTTAATTAATTCTTATATTATAAATTGAAAATGTCATTTTCTTATAGAAAGAAAACAATCATTTGCCCTAATACTGTTTATTTTATTCGTCAAATCATGTTTTTGTTCTATCATTACCGACATTATTAACGTCACTTACAATATACTTTCTTGAATAGACTAATTCTTACAGTTAACGGTAGAATAAAGTTTGCCTTATATATTAGCAAATCTTAAACAATCTAAGCATTGACATAAATGTGTAACAGTTCATATATTCACATTTGATGTCCGGTTATTAAGAGAGTATAAACATGATGACAGTTAAAAGAATTAGTATAGCAGTATGAGCAAAGATAGATCGTGCTGGGCAGTCGTCCTAACTGGCACTCGTCAACTGGATATGCCAGTATCACAGAGTTGTTGTTCACTTTGACACTCGAACCCAGTATTAAGACTCAATATCTAAGTGAATAATACGATGGCGTTTGAAGCGAATGGTATTGGGTTTGAGTCCCGGAGTAAACATTAACTATCGGGTGCAGGTACTCCCAGTTAATTAGTCCCAGATAAGGATTAAACACGCGTCCTAGCTTCCACTGCCATCCACCATCCATTTCTGCTTATAATGCTTATGATTTATGGCAATATTGAGGCAATCCGAACAGGATGAACATATACCAATAAGAGACTGATCAATCGCGGTCCTGAACATCAATGGGAAGATTCAAATAAACAGTACAATATAAATTTAATATAGTAGTGTTATGTATTATATTACAAAATTAAGCAGAGTGAATTCAGTTGAGAAACCGTAAATAAAATGGAAAAAATTCAAAGTATGATATGATTATAAAGCATGTGAAAAAGATAAAAACTAAATAAATACATGCCATTTTATTTATCCTTGAGTCATATCATTTAAAGCTTTCATCTGCTAATATCTGCAATTGTATAAAGTCTAATTAGGAAATCTGCAGTTCTCAATTTGTCTTAGTCACTAGCCTCATAGACTTATTATAACCGAATCACAACCCATACATGTGTTGTTTATCATTTAATTATTAAAGGGATTTACACCGTAATCTTGGCTGAACGTGTAAATAAATTTCTCAACATGTTTTATTACATTAGTATTTATTAGTCTTTGAATAATATTTGTATTATACTGTATATGACTTTTTCCAGGTTAATCTATTTCGTAGTTTACCTTATGGTCCAAATGAAAAACAAACTACTATGGGTGATAATTTTCGTCCTATTCAACCATTAAATCCACCCGATACACTTGCACCACGTTCTCTGTATCGAGCTACAGCATCAAGTCTTTCATTATTATCTTTACCAGGTTTATTATGTATCATGTTGACCAGTCAACTTACTGTGATATTTTCTTAATTCATTTAATTCAAAACTATTTATGTCTGAGATATTTAGCTTCTTCTAGACCCAAATTATTGCGCTTTCATTCTTTGAATTAAAAACAAAAAGAGGATACTTACCCATACTACTTTATAGAGTAAATTTTCTTGTTTTATTTTTCTTCTTTGTTTTTTTTCTTCTAAATTTCTCATATTTTGTAAATAACTTAGTTGGTCATATTCCAAAACATTTTGAAGACGTGTTATATTTGGCTTGATTTCACATCATAATGTTTATTTTATTAGATTAATATGATTATGCCATATATGTATCTGTAAGAGTTCCTTGGTCAATAGCCTCATTAGTTACTGTCCACTACTTCTAGCTCTTAATTAGTTGGTTAATATTTTCCTTTACAAGATTCAAGATGAAGTGGAAAAAAATATTATGTATTCATGATTCATTCATTGTAGTTAATTATCAATGAATAATAAAAAAGAAATGACATTTCATCTAATGACTTTATTTTGTTGAGATTTTGTAATTCTCTTTTATTTTTACCTGAAATCTGGTTACGAAGCATATTGTAAGCCAATACAATAGGTAGGAGGAAAGTATATTTATTGTAAAAAGTTACAATTTATTTACACAATAATTATACATAGCCATCATTCGTCCATTGGGATCTTTCGGTATGTTCTGGAATCTCAAATGTTTTCTCGAGTGGTCTCGAATTATCTGACAATATTTGGCTTTCAATGCACTGAAACATTTCACTTTGATGTCATGTTCCGCTACACACTACTTGATATCAATCTTGTGAGTAGCGTTCACTACAACACAATTAAAGATATAAAATGCAACAAATTTACTGAGATCGTATAGAGTAACAATTCTCTAAATGAAGATCATATTTTTTACGAGTATGAAGAACTGTACTGTTATAATTTTAGTCTTCTTACTGGTAGTGTATACATAAGGCCTAAAATCGAACTTACTCGAGAACCTTCACATTAAATGGTAATAATGGTACTTCTATACCGATTCATTCAAATCTAGTCTGTAAGATTTCCAAATTCAGGTGATTTGCTATGTAAATGTGATAGCTTACTACTTTTCAAGATCGTCCCCATGGCAAATCCAAGACTCTTGAGTGAAAATGTGAGTGTGGATCATTGAATCTTGCCTCGAGGATTTGAAGATATTTTGATCTCCAAGACACTTAAAGAAATGTACAGTTGTAGACGAGCGCAATAAACAACTTCATATCTGACGGTAGACTTCAAGTACAAAAACTCTCACTTTGCAAAAGTTTTAATAAGTGTTTCGGAGAACAAGGTTTTGAACATGCTCTCTATATTGAAGTGAACTCAATGTTATCATTTCTATATGTAAATATTTTTATCTCCAGGTTTAACCGATTACCCTGTTTTATGCGTGGGCATATGATTCTCGTTTCACTTTATGTCAAGAAATGGTTCTTTCTGTATTTTAGCCAAAACTTTAAGTGCCATCAAGAACTGAAATTATAGCCAATACACATCAACGGTTCTTTATAAAGTGTTACCTGTGAGTCTGGGATTGATCATACTAATTTTAGACCACCTAACAGGAATCAGTCAATTCACAGTTATAAATTCATTCATTTCGCAATCGCCTATGCAATCAGTGTTACATGATGTAAGTATTTCACTTAAAGTTTACTGTTCTTACGATTTATCTGAAGTATTATAGCTAGAGATTGATTTATAAAACCGCCTGTAGAATATAAAACCTTGATATTAATGTATAAAGGTTACGAAGAAACAATAAGCATTTCAAAGCGACACATAGTGAACACATGAACTATGAAATAAACATAAGAACCACTGAAAGACGATATGTGCTGATCAACCATTTTATTTAAGTATGTCTTCTTAATGGTAGTATTCATTCGCGATCCTAAAGACGTTGGTTGTGATTCTAATTTCTGACTACTTCGGGATCTCATTTGAATCAAAATCAACATATAATTGACGTGTCGCTCATTGCTACTGAAGAACGAGTTAACCTGTTGTTATGTAATTATTCAAATCATCCAATAAATTAAAGGTCATTTACAGAAGACAGGTTTAATTTACTCTGTATATTTTCGAGTTAATCAAGTAGCACCGGTAGGATAGTACATACATTTTCCATGTAATACATACGAGTTTCATTGGATCACAATTACAGAAATAAAAAAATATATCACAGGAATGTTCTGTATTATCCGCGTATATAGAGCTATTACGTTGAAAAGAAAAAGTCGCGACAAAAAACAGTCAACTATCGAAAACACATTTTTCCTTAATTTTAAATGTACTTGTTACGTACAATAACTTTTTCCATTTGTAATTTAGTATCTAATTATATCGAGATATGCATGAAATATTTCAGTAACAGATGCTTTGTGAGAGTTGTTAAAGAATACATTATTTCTATAGTAGTATTCCTTGATGTAAGAAGACAGAGTAGTCACCGCAACCCTTAAACACGGATTTTATGCTAGTTTTGTACTAATCAGTAAATTTTGTCTGAAATTTTAGAAAAAAATGCTCCTGTACTTATAGAAAGTTATTTCCCTCAGTATCGTTTTCACTAAGTATAACACTCAACGATTACAACTAATTAACCATGAAGTCGTAATTAATGCCATGTCTAATAACCAGTGCTGTTTGTATTTTCGCACTGAATTAGTCTCCACTTTACTGAATACTGAATTTCATTTGATTATACTACCACGGAAAGTTCGTAAGTATTCGAGTACTGAGTAACAAATTTATAGGATGAGAATTAAGCCAACCGGTGATATACGAAGGAGATAAACCTTTTAGTTAACATTTGTAAACACTATGGAGAGGGAAAACACAATAATCAAAAAATACAACTACATACAAAATCTCACTATAAACCATAGTTACGATAGTCTGGCATTAGAGCATTATCAGTTTGCAGCAAACAAAACTGCTTTTCCTCAGAAATAGTCAAAGCCTACGTAAATGAACCCAAACTAAGAATGAACATGATACTATAAGACCATATGGCAAGAATATTAGCATTGAGGCTAATACACCAATGAGCACCGATGGATGGTGACTAGCAGTGAGATCCAAGATGAGCGTTTCGTCTTATTTGGAACTCGTCAACTGAGTTTGCCTGCATCCCTTATTTGTTGTTCACTCCGACGTTCGAACCCACGACCCTTCGCTCCAAACGTCATCGCGTTATCAATTTAGCTACTGAGTCCAGATAGTCACTACCTTATGCAACGAGTTGAAGTTTAATTCATTTTTGTATTGGTTGTTTTAATCTTCCTACCAATGTCTAGGAATGAGATTGATCAGCCTCTTATTGACATATGCTCATCCTTTTCGAATTGCCTCAATTTCGTCTTAAGTCACAAGTAGATACATCCAAGTAACGAGTCGCAAATAGGACAAACCGAGCATTTTGAATTCCACTGCTTATAATGCTAGTGACTTAATGCAATCCGAACAGGATATACATATGTCAATAAGAGATTGATCAATTGCAGTCCTAAATATCAATGGGAACATTTCAACAACCAATTCAAAAACGAACGAACATATCAACACTCAAAATAAACATGCCAAATACAGAACAATTAGTTATTGATATAATTTAGCCTTTTAAATGATAATGATTGACATATATCTTATGTAATTGATTCCCCTTTTCTTAACAATACATTCATAGAATATCTAGAAATCAAAGAAAATTTAATAATCTAACTCATATTGTAAATTAATTACGATAAAATGAAAAGAAGAAAAAACAATTTGGTTGAAATATAATTTTGACTTAGTAACTAAAAAAAATGATGCATTTCATTATTTTGTAAACATTAACAATAGAATAAATTGAATAATATAGAATTCAATGAATCAAGTTAACCAATGGATAGTAAATAACAATATGATACAATTGATTTTGATTAATCAGTAACAAATCAAGTATCGAATAATTTAACATTAAACATCCCTTGATTCAATAATATTCGTTACATTTATATGTTCTAACCATGAATTCAATGAGGTTAGTTTTTGACTTTTACATGAATGTCTACTCAAAAATGTAATATTCACTTAATTGCATAATCACAAATTGCTAAACTATCTTTTGTTGAGCTCATAAAATTTCTCAGGATAAGAAAAACAAAAATATAAGGTGGGATTATAATTTATGGACGACCTTTGAAGCCATGAGCACGTCCACCTATTACTTACTTACTTACTTACTTACTTACTTACTTACTTACTTACTTACTTACTTACTTACTTACTTACTTACTTACTTACTTACTTACTTACGCCTGTTACTCCCAATGGAGCATAGGCTGGCGACTAGCATTCTCCAACCAACTCAGTCCTGGGCCTTCCTATCTAGTTCTATCCAATTTTTGTTCGTCTTTCTTATGTCTGTCTTTATTTCTCGACCTAATATGTTCTTTGGTCTTCCTCTTCTCTTTTGGCCTTCAGGATTCCATGTGAGAGCTTGCATTGTAACGCAGTTGTGTGCTTTTCTCAATGTGCGTCTCATCCACTTCCAGAACTTCCTCCTGATTTCTTCCTCTGCTGTGATCTGGTTTGTTCTCTCGCATAGTAGGTTGTTGCTGATAGTGTCTGGCCAACGGATCCGAAGTATTTTGCGTAGACAACTGTTAATAAACACTTGTATCTTCTAGATGATGGCTTTCGAAGTTCTCCAAGTTTCCTCCACATACAGTAGAACTGTCTTGACATTTGTATTGAAAATCCTGACCTTGGCGTTGGTTGACAGACAGTTGTTTTGAGTTCCGTATATTCTCCAGTTGTAAATATACTGCTCTTGCTTTACCGATCCGCGCTTTCACATCTGCAACAGATCCACCCTGTTCATCAATGATGCTGCCCAAACATGTAAAGGTTTTTACATCTTCCATATCTTCTACGTCAATTGTGACTCGGTTGTTACATGTTGTGTTGTATCGGAGAATTTTGCTTTTCCCTTTATTTATGTTGAGACCTACTGCTGCTGAGGCTGAGGCTGCTGCTACACTGGTCGTCTTCTCCTGCATTTGTTGTTGCGTTTGGGATAGAAGGGCCAGATGTTAGCGTTTTTTGGCGAGTTAGTTTTCTACGGGATGGGGACGCTAACCCCATGCCCAACCCTCCTCCTTTATCCGGGCTTGGGACCGGAAGTAGCCCCCGGAGGGACTCCGGGCGAAGTTACGTCTACCTATTAACTAGTGCTAAATGAGGGTTATAAACCAGTATGAGGAATTAGAATTAAGATGGCTAGGGTTAGGAATTAGATTTAATGTTTTCATCAAGAACTAACATCAGCTATAATGCCGAAACTCAATTTAACCAAATGAATTTTGCGCCACAATCCAAAACCTGTTATCTTACATCCGATTGGTTCGTCCATAAATTATAGTTTCGCCTTTAGTATGAATTAATGTATACCTTTGCATGGACAAATGTAAATAGTTTTGATGAATGAAAATATGATAAATCAATTTGGAACGTCTGTTGGCTAAAATGAGAATTATTTAACATAAATTTCAAATTCAATCAAGTTAACATTGAATACTCTCTGTATGTTGATCATTTGAATTGTCTTTTGAAAACCCATTCATAGAAGTATCCTTAACTTATCATCTTGACCTTCAACATTACAGATGACTAATTGGCTATCTTGCATAGAGTTCACCCTTGAATTTTCAACATTCTGTATACTTTAAAGATGTTTACGAAATTTTAATTATTGGTATTTTAACAATTATTCAGTGAAACTAAGAATTTAGTATACATTACATCACGGGAACTAAAATGTAGTTCTAGAATCGCTCGTATGGTGTTGACAGAATTTCAACTAATCTCTATTAGCATGTATGAATCTTGTGCAGACTGTCTCGATACTTCCATTTTTCAGAAACTTTCATAGAATAGATAAATTTGTGGCTGGTAGGGATAGCCAGGA